GGGTTCAGGGTTCAGGGTTCAGGGTTCAGGGTTCAGGGTTCAGGGTTCAGGCTATAGCATAGAGTTTAGCGTTTTTAAAAGGCCCTAAACCATAAACCATAAATCAGCTTCCGATGTTGAGCTCAAAAGTGCAAGGACCGTGTCCGTCACTGTCCACCTCTTCCCACAAACCAAGGCGCATGTTCAGAGTCGCTGAAGAGTCTCAGGGTTTAGGGTTTAGGGTTTAGGGTTTAGGGTTTAGGGCTCTGGGGTTCAAAGGGCTTGAGAAGCGGGGGGGAAGGGGGCTTAGGAGGAGCTCAGCGGGTCTCAGGGTAGGGTATATAGGGTAGGTAAGGCCTGAAGCAGCCATGTGCGACGTTCGATTGCGGGGTGCCTGGAAAGGAGCAACCCCTAAACCTAGATCCTGCCTGCATGAGCACTTGCAATTCCTCAAGGGGCTCCTCAGCCACAGCGCAGACTTCTCGACATGGAGTTGACTGAAATAGGGGACCCCCTGAAACAGGCCCCCAAGTAGTAGGAATCCTTTGTAATAAGGACGCCAACATAAGGTACCCCTAATTTCGGAAACCCCCACATAACCCAAAACCGAAGACCCTACACCGTAAACCCCAAATGCAACTTTGAGGGCTTCTTGTTTGGTGGTTAAGGAAGTTTTGGCCCTATCTAGAGTTCCTGAATCCCGCCAAAAAAACGGTTTAGGGTTTAGGGTTTAGGGTTTAGGGTTTAGGGTTTAGGGTTTAGGGTTTAGGGTTTAGGGTTTAGGGTTTAGGGAGGCCAAAGCCCGGACAGCTTGAAGAGGTGAAGGTGATCGAATCCCCAGGCTCACCGGAAAGGCTGCAACAGCCACTCTGCCACTCTGCCTCACCGAAACCCTCCCGAAGGGTCCATGTACCTAATTAGGGAATACTTGGGCCTTGCAGTACTTCCGATATTATGTAGGGACTCTGGGGCCCAAGTAGATAATGATGAGGTAACTACATGGACCCCCAAAAAGACACCAAGGAGGGGTATCTAGGGCCTGAACCCCGAACCCCAAGCCCCAACACCCAAAGCCCCAATCCTTGACTCAAGCCCCATGCTTGAAGGGGTTTAGGGTTTAGGGTTTCGGGTTTAGGGTTTAGGGTTTAGGGTTGAAGGTGTGAACCCATGTTTAGATGCCATATTCCACGCGACCTTCGAGGAGGAGCAGGTGACCCTCGAGCGCTTCGCCGTCGGGAGCCTCTGCCCCCGGTTTGGGGCTCTAGGGCGTTTTCGGTTGAGGGCTGAGTGCCCTTTTATCCTAAACCCTAAGCCCTAAACGCTAAACCCTAAACTTTAGGCCCTCAGCCCTAAACCCTAAACCCGAATACTAAAGTGCCTAAAGCATGTTTGAGAATTCAGTCTGGAGCCTGGGTTGCCGTCAAAGCCACGTCGCGCGGTGTAGCAATTGTCTATAAACTTCAGGGTACAGGGCCCAGGGCCCAGGCATCTCAGAAATTCGGCGGGTTCTGACACGACGGTGCTTTTCAGGACAGGGCGCAGCGCCTATCAGATACAGCGGGCATGGGAAGCGTCGTCCCCAGCCTTCTCCAAGCAAAAGCCCCAAGCGCTCTAAGCCCTGAACCCCCGTAAACCATCCTAAGGGTTCAGGGTTTAGGGTTGAAGGTTTATGTAAATGGTTTAGGGTTTAGGGTTTAGGGTTTAGGGTTTAGGGTTTAGGGTTTAGGGTTTAGGGTTTAGGGTTTAGGGTTTAGGGTTTAGGGTTTAGGGTTTAGGGTTTAGGGTTTAGGGTGGGTAATCTTGCCGTTTCAGATGCTAGCATCCGTGTGGGAAGCCTCGAGGTGTTCATGCTGTCGATCTACATCACTTTTTGCCTCTCCTTCATTCCAGCGGGCATCACCCACTACTTGGTGAAGGAGTGCTTTAGGGCTTAGGGTTTAGGGTTTAGGTTTTAGGGTTTAGGGTTAAGTCTTTAGGGTTTAGGGTTTAGGCCCCTACCTCTTCTGGGCTCTTGCTATGGAACTCAAGGGAGAACCCTAGAGCCCTAACCCGATGTACCCTCAACCTCTGAACCCTCAACCCTCAGCCGTATTTAACCCTAATCCCTGAGTGCTAAGCCCAAAGCTTTCTTGAATCCCCAAAACCTTGTGCTAAAAGAACGGTACTTGGGGTGACCCCCACCCGAAGTCCTAAACCCTAAGCCCTAGACACTAAACCCTAAACCTAACCCCTCCCCGAAATCCTACCCGAAACATCGCACAAGAAACGTACCATCAACGGCCAGAGATCCAAACCCTTAACCCCCCCTGCCCCCCCCCCCCCCCACTCAAAACCCCACTTGAACACTCCTAAACCCCTAGGCCCCCTGGATACTCCTAAACCCCTAAATACTCCCGAGCCCCCTAAACCCCCTAAACCCCCTCAACCCCCTAAACCCCCTAAGCCCCCTAAACCCTAACCCTAAACCCTAAAACCTAAACCCTAAACCCTAAACCCGAAACCCCAAAAACCCTGAACCCCCCCAAAAACCCCTTCAACCTGTGAGGAGCGGACAAGCGGCGCTCGTCAGCTCCAGGTGCACTTTTTGGTTTAGGGTTTGGGGTTGAGGATTGAGGGTTTAGGGTTTAGGGTTGAGGGTTTTTGGACTGGGGTTGAGGGTTGAGGGTCGAGGGTTTAGGGATTAGGGTTCAGGGTTTAGGGTTTAGGGTTGAGGCTTTAGGGTTTAGGGTTGAGGGTTTAGGGTTGGGGTTTGGGTTTAGGGGGGTTCAGGGTTTAGGGTCAGGGTTCAGGGTTCAGGGTTTTAGGGTTAGGGTTTGAGGGTTTCAGGGTTTAGGGTTAGGGTTGGGTTTAGGGTTCTTAGGGTTAGGGTTAGGGTTTAGGGTTCAGGGTTTAGGGTTGGGGGTTGACGGTTTAGGTGTCTCTGAGGGCTTTGTTCGGGGTGTTCGGGGGGGGGGGGGGGGGGTGTTTTGGTTTGGGTGTGTGTGCTTTTGTGGGGTTTCGGGGGGCTTCCAGAGGTTTTGGGGGGTTGGGTTCGGAGCTTTTGGGAGGGTAGGGGTTAGGGAGTTGGGCTTTTAAGGGTTCAGAGTTTTGGTTTGGGTTTGGGGTTTGGGTTTTAGGCGTTGTTTGGGTGCGACGAGAGCCAACAATGAAGTCAAGCATTTTCATAACGTTACGGGATCCAATGGGTGGGTGGGTCGACATTCGATACCGGTAAGGAGCTTTACTAGTGAATGCTTTGTACTTGAGAAGCTGAACCCTGACCCTAAACCCCAGAAACTCATTGAGTTGCGGGGTGAGGTACATGACGGTGTCAGGTCTGTCGAGGTACGAGGCCAATCATGGGTTGCCCTACTGCCCCTCTTTTTACTGTCCCCCTAGCTTTCCCCCCATAATGAAGGCTATGTAGGGATAACTATAGCCTAATTAGGGGGAACCTAGGGGGGGTAGGAAAGAGGGGCGAGCAGGAAGCCCATGACTAAGCCCTGAAACCGGTTTAGGGATTAGGGTATACGATTGGGATGTTCCTAAACCCTAAACCCCAAACCCTTAACCCTAAAGCCCCTAAAGCCCTCCTACTAAGGTCTTTTTGTATAAGGTGGAACATCCCCAGTAGAACGACATATCGAGGCGTTGAGCGGTGCGACGCATGGCGCCTACTGGTTGGCTAATCTCGTCTACGCAACTCTGCGGCCTTGAGTTTAAGCCCTGACCCCTTACCCCCCCCCCCCCCCCCCGCCCCGGGTAGAGCCCCTTAGGATTTTCTCTCTCTCTATAAATACGGTTCAGGGTTTAGGGTTTAGGGAGCCTAAACCCCAAATCCTAAATCCTAAGCCCTTACTGGGTTTCAGACGATCACATCTCGGAATCGTTGTTCAGAGGGGTTTTGAGGGGCCCTCCTGGCCTGTATTGGGCCCCTAAACCCGATAAGCCCTCAACAACTGCAGTCTGCACCGGGATCCCTCGACTTGTTAGGATATCATCAGGGTTTAGGGTTTAGGGTTTAGGGTTTAGGGTTTAGGGTTAGCAGCCTATAAACCTGGTTCAGGGTTTAGGGTTTCGGGTTGTCTATTCTTGTTTGTCTGGAAGGCGTTTCCAACAGTTCGGGTCCTTTTCTTTTCTGAGTTTTCCTGCTACAAGGGGTAACAGGTTTAGGGGCGTCGTAAGGGGTAGGGTTCGGGCTTTAGGATTTAGGGTTTAGGGTATCACCGTCTGAGGAAATGTTCCTGCGCTTGATCCCCAAAAGGACTACAGACCCTAAACTCTAACCCTACTAGACCTTAGCCCCTGCAGCCGATAACATAAACCCTACATGTCAAGGCTGTCAACAGGGTTTTTGAGATGGGTTTAGGGGTTTGGGTTTGGGGTTTGCGGTTTGGGGTTCAGGGTTTATATAGCATAAGGTTTAGGGTTTAAATAATATAGGGTTTAGGGTTTAAATAATATAGGGTTTAGGGTTTAAATAATATAAGGTTTAGGGTTTAAATAATACAGGGTTTAGGGTTTGGGAGCCGCGCCTCACGCTGCCTTTCGATGCCCCAGCCCTCGCAAGCTCAGCGCTGCAGGGTTTAGGTCGTTTAGGGTTTAGGGTTTAGGGTTTAGGGCTAGGGTTCGATTCGGGTTTCGGGTACAAGGTACAGGAGTTCAAGTAGTGGCCAACGTTGTCGCCCCTTTCAACCCTGATATAAGGAAAGTAGAAGCAGCCCGAGTTTCCCCCCCCCCCCCCCCAAATTTCGCAGCGCTGTAGGGTTTGTGGACACAGAGCTTATGATGTTTAGGATGAGGATGTAAGGCTGAGCTCATGTACTTTAGTCTTAAGGCCCGTATGCGCTGCGGACCTTCTTGTGCTTGAAAGAAGTTTCTTGGGGGCAATGTTGAAAGCCCCGGCCCCTAAACCCTCAGCCTCTTAGGAAAGGGCTGCAGATGTTTAAAGTTGTTGATGCTTAAGGGTTTGCCCCTCTTGGCTAATTGCCTGCGCGCCTTGCGAAGAAGCCATGGTCGCGTACTGCCAATGGCATCCCCACATGTCGCCAGAGAAGCACGAGCGCTGCAAGAAGAAGCACAGCGACCCTGAAACGCTGCTTCACTACGAGGCCCTGAACTCCGCGGCCGCGGGCTGCGCGCAGTGCGTCGAGGCTTTTCTCGCCGAAGGTGGGGATCCTCTGAAGGGAACGGTCAACCACGCCGATTGGAATCTCATGGCCTGGGCCGAGTACTCCTGCAGCAAGGGGCGGATCAGTCAGACACAGCTGGATGCTGTGAAAGTCCTGATCGATGCTTAGTAGTGGTGTAGGTACTGTAACTTTTAGCCTTTTTGGGGTAACATCATCCCCTTAGAATCCCAAAGGCTAACCTTTAGTTCCCCTAGAAAACTGGACAACTAAGGATGCCTACTCAGGCGACCAAGTCAAGAGACCAGGAGCTCCCGGTGGTGAAGGGGAGGCGGCGGAGGTGCCTCTCCATGATGGCTACTGTCCACGCCATCCCCACATGACGGAAGAGCAATGCAAGCAGTACGAGAAGAACGCGGACTTCCTTCACTACGCCGCGCTCTACGCCGCCAGCCTGGGATGCGCGCAGTGCGTGAAGGCCTTCTTGGCGGAGGGGGGAGATCCCCACCGAGGGACGGCTGGGCACGAAGACTGGACTCTTTCGGCTTGGGCAGAGTACTCCTTCGGCAAGGGTCACATCACTCGGGCGCAGCTTGATGCGGTGAAGAGTGCGGTCTGTGCTCACACAGCCTCAGGCGCCCCAGGTGGGGGTTTACCAAAATAGGGGACCCTAAAGTAGACCCCCAAATGGTACCCTAAACCCTAAACCCTGAACCCTAAACCCTAAACCCTAAACCCTAAACCCTAAACCCTAAACCCTAAACAGGTGAACTTGAGCCAAACAGGGAGGTGCAAGAGCCCATGTCCCGCTTCGAGATCCAAAGCCATTCTGGGCCGGGATACTGCCCGCAGCATCCGCACATGAACCCAGAGCAGCGTCACCACTGTGAGAGGAGGTCCACCACACCGGAGGATTTTCAGCACCAGAGTCGTAATAGTAGTGGAGCAGGCAACCTTTCTAACCTTTTTGGGGGGTCTTCTAATCCCTCTAGAATCCCAAAAGGTTCACCCTGTTCATTCCCCGAAGTTCCTGGAACGACTGAGGCACTACGCCGGGCTCCACTCGGCACTGGCCGGCTGCGCGCGATGTGTGGAGACGTTCTTGGCCGAAGGGGGCGATCCCCTCAAGGGCACGGCCCGTCACCGGAGGCTTGGGAACCCCCGTGGTGCCCTTTTCCCGCTTTTTGGGCTCAAGGTTCCCTTATGAAGTACCCAACCCCCAAAAAGGGGTACCCTTAATATTCCCCTAAAAAGGGTGCCCTTACTATAAACATGGCTACTGGGCTACTAATGGAGGTGGAATCTCCAAGCTTGTGCCGAGTATGCCTTCAGCAACAGAGAGATCAGCGAGGTGCAGTTGGATGTCATCAAAAGCCTGGTCTCAGTTCATGTGAGCCTTACACGCCCTACAAGCCTTACAACTGATGCATGCATGCGCGAGAGATCACGTAGTCCGCGGCGCGGGTTTAGGGTTTAGCGGGGTTTAGGGTTCGGGGCTCGGGGTTCAGGGTTTAGGGCCAGGAGAACCTGGGAGGCATGCGACGTGCGACATCTGTGCGTCTTTCGGCGCCGAGGGAAGAGGGTCCGACAAAGCCTGCGCTCGGTTGCCGAACTGTGTTTTTACTAGACCTTGGTAGCCCACTGGTACCCTTTACCCTTTTTCTTGGTTAGGTTCCCGTAAGAAATAAGCAACCCAAAAAAGGGTGCCCTTATGATAACATGGTTACTGGGCTACCAAGAGACCTAAGAGTAAGCTGGGTGCCCCTTGGTTCAAAGGCCTACTCTGGGTCCTAGATGACCTGAAGGACCACATGAACCTCGAAAGGGTTTAATAGGAACCTGTATGAACCTTAATAGTCTAGGGTTTAGGGTTTAGGGTTTAGGGTTCATACACCTAAATACCTAAGCATCGTAGTAGAGGGTAGATGGTCCCAATGCTTGGGTTCATTTAAGGTCTAGGCCAAGACGTCCTCGTTGCGTAGTAGTAGACGGGCGCACCCAAAGCCCAAAACCCTAAACCCTAAACCCAAAACCCGATCAGCAAGGCAACATCCAAGAAGCTTGCAAACAACAAGTGGCCTATGCCCTTGGCAAAGAGCTGTGACACAGACCCCTGGGGAGGATTCAAAAAGCAGAACCCCCAAGTAGTACCCTGTACTAACTATTGGGTCATTCCTAGGTTTACTTTTTGGATCTAAACCCTAAACCTAAACCCTAAACCCTAAACCCTAAACCCTAAACCCTAAACCCTAAACCCTAAACCCTAAACCCTAAACCCTAAACCCTAGACCCTAGACCCTAGACCCTAGACCCTAGACCCTAGACCCTAGACCCTAGACCCTAAACCCTAAACCCTAAACCCTAAACCCTAAACCCCAAACCCTAAACCGAAACCCCGAAACCCTAAAGGCTTGGGGCTGCCAGGGGGGCGAACGCCCCAAGTGCGGGGCCGCCCCAAAGAAATCGCCTCTTTCTTTTCGCAAGCCTTGCTTCCCCAGACCCCTGGGTATAGGGTTCAGGGTTTAGGGTTTAGGGTTTAGGGTTTAGGGTTTAGGGTTTAGGGCTAGGGTTTTAGGGTGTTTTGGCGCCCCCACCTGCTTCAGGGTTCAGGGTTTAGGGTTTATAGGCTAACTTCAACCCCCTCACACCTCTGCCCCCCTTCCGCCCCCTCACCCAAACCCTAAACCCTAAACCCTAAACCCTAAACCCTAAACCCTAAACCCTAAACCCTAAACCCTAAACCCTAAACCCTAAACCCTAAACCCTAAACCCTAAACCCTAGACCGCAGCGGTAGTTGCTCAGGATGTGCTGCTCTACGTACCTCCGGCCCTGTCCGTGCCCCTGGCGCTCAAGCGCTTCGGGCTCTTGGGCCGCAAGAGGGTTTAGGGTTTAGGGTTTAGGGTTTAGGGTTTAGGGTTTAGGGTTTAGGGTTTAGGGTTTAGGGTTTAGGGTTTAGGGTTTAGGGTTTTCTCAAGTTCCTTTCGTGAGTTTTGTAGACACCTTACAAGGCCGAAACCCCTAACCTGCCACAAAGTTCTGGGATCCCAGGGCTTTGCGGGTTCCAGCATTGTCGCTGGCTACCGTCTGGCAACACTTGTAGGCTACCACACCTCGGAATCCGATAAGAATGTTTCTAGTAAGAACATACAGAAACGCGATGTTTGTATTCTAAACCCTAAACCCTAAACCCTAAACCCTAAACCCTAAACCCTAAACCCTAAACCCTAAACCCTAAACCCTAAACCCTCAAGCCCAAAGCAGGGCAACATGTGCGTGTTTTGGAAGCACGAACCCTTGAACGCCTAAACGCCTATAACCCTGAACCCTTACACCCTAAGACCCCTACAGCCCTAGAGCCCTAAAGCCCGAAAACCCAAACCCCAAAACCTGAAAACCCTATAACGTCCCAATCAGGACCCTAAGCCCCCTGCATAAACCCCATACCCTTTAAACCCCAAACCCGAGGTCCTCAACCCTAAACCCTGAACCCTAAACCCTAAACCCTCAACCCTCAACCCTAAGCCCGACACCCTAAACCCTAAACCCTAAACCCTAAACCCCAGGTTCCATACCCTGTTGGAGGGCGACTGTGGTGCGGCGCTCTTCGCTGTGCTGGCTGCTTTCGGCGTGGCAGCCCAGGGAATCTTGCGGCCGTTTAGGGTTTAGGGTTTAGGGTTTCGGGTTTGGGGTTTGGGGTTAGGGTTTAGGGTTTAGGGTTTAGGGTTTAGCGCTTCGGGTTTCGGGTTTAGGGTTAATGAGGGTATAGGGGTTTAGGGTTTAGGGCCCTTTTGGGTTCAAAGGGGTTTATGGGTTTCTGGAGGGTTCGGGTGTGTGTGCCCTGTGCTTTAAGTAGTCTGACTCCAAAGGGATCCGCAAGTAATACATGCAGGTCGATGCAACGGCCTTATAAGGTTCTATGGGGTTCTACAGTCGAAGGGTAGTTTCATGGTCCCTTAATATACTCCCTTACCCTCAAGGGTTCTGAAGTACGAGCCCTTGGGTTTGATCGAGTATATAAGGCGTATAGAAGGGTCCCCGTTTAAGGTCCCAATAGAGGGACCATGTAGATTGCAGGACTTTGTGCATGTAGGCTGGGTCGTGGGCCTGAACAATCCCGGAAGTGTTCCCAACAAAGCGCCCGCCCCTGAGGGTTCCATTCCAACCCTGCGCGGAAAAGTATAGGCAACCCTACGAGGTTTTAGTCTAGACCCTAAAGCCTAAAGACTAAACCCTAAACCCTAAACCCTCAAGCTTGTAGGATTTTCGGGTTTGGGCTTGAGGTCTAGGGTTTCATCATGACATGTCGACGCCTTCTCTCTCCTCCACCAACCTCCAGCCTGCCCTCACGGGTTTAGGGTTTAGGGTTTAGGGCTTAGCGTTTAGGGTTTAGGGTTTTAGGGTTTCGGCAGGACAGTTTTCCTGGGATATGCGGAGGCTACTCATGTCCGACAGATAGATACATGCACGACCCCTACATGCGGCTCCCCCCCCCCCCCAAACCGGTTGACCCTTTGAATGCTAAAGCCTAAACCCGCAGCACCCAAACCCAAAGCACCCTAAAGACCCACAACGCTGCAGACTAAGCCCTAAATTCTACACCTGAACCCTATAGACCCAAAACCCAAGACACCCTAAAACCCTAAAACCCTATAAACCCTCAAGAATCCGATGCTATTAGCCCTAAACCCTAAACCCTAAACCCTAAACCCTAAACCCTAAACCCTAAACCCTAAACCCTAAACCCTAAACCCTAAACCCTAAACCCTAAACCCTAAACCCTAAACCCTAAACCCTAAACCCTAAACCCTAAACCCTAACCCTAAACCCTAAACCCTAGCCCTAAAGCGCCGATCCTCGAATTGCGAGGCCCTGCGATCGCGGGCTTCTCCTACCTGGTCCCAGCCTTTCAGGGTCGCCATGGCATAGGTCTTCTTGGAGGTTTTCGGGTTTAGGGTTTAGGGTTTAGGGTTTAGGGTTTAGGGTTTAGGGGTTAGGGTACGTAGGCCCTTGGGACATTTTATATTTTCCCTTATTGGGTTTGAGAGGGCCATATTCAGGAATGTTTTTCAGGGGGTTTTAGGGGCCATCCTGGTTAAGGGTTTGGAGGGTTTAGAGTTTAGAGGGTCTAGAGGGTTTGCAGGGTTTAGAGGGTCTTAGACGGACGGCTCTTTAGATGGTTTAGAGGGTTGAGGGGTTTGGGGGTTTAGGCCAAGCCCACATTTGGAGCGATTGAAATTAGGAGGAGGCCCTCAAACAACTTTGCTTTTGCAGGGCTTTCCTGGGCTTAGTGTCGAAAGATTCGGACTGAAGGCTTTAAGGGGTAGAAGCAGGGACCCTTAATCTTATTCCCCTGTATAGCCCCTATACATTCCTCACATAGTCCCTACATAGCTAAGAAGCGCCTGAATAATCCCAAAAACCCCTACCCTAAACCCTAAACCCTAAACCCTAAACCCTCAACCCTAAACCCTAAACCCTAAACCCTAAACCCTAAGGTCCCTTATAAGGGTCCCTCCTCCGGTCCCTTGAGGGTTGAAACTTTGGGGGAGGGCATGGTTCAGCCTGCACCGGCCACAAGCTTCTGAGGTTCTTAAACCGAAAGCCTTCAAACAAGGGTTTAGGGTTTAGGGTTTAGGGTTTAGGGTCTAGGGTTTTGGGTTTAGGGTTTAGGGTTTATAGGGTTTAGGGTTTAGGGTTCTTGAGAAAACTTCAATGGGGGCGGTTGAACTTTTTGAGCTTACAAACCCAACCAAGCCACACCACACCAAACCAGACCAAGCCTGACCAAAACAAAATAAAACCAATAACACACTAAGCAGAAGAGATTGTTTGAAAAACCTTCTGCTAGGGCTTATTAAAGAAAACTACAACCCTCTTCACAAAGCAAAACAAAAGAACACACACCAACAAAATTCAAAGAAACCGGCGCACATGCACGAGAGGCATCCTAAGCCCCCCCCCCCCCTTTCCCTCACAGCAGATCATGCTGAGGTGTCCTTTTGTTTCAAGGATCACTCCAGGGCCGGGGGACCCAGCAGCAACCCTAAACCCGAAACCCTACAGAACAAACCCCAAACTAACCCTAAGCCTTAAACCCTAAACCCTGAACCCTATAAACCCTAGACCCTAAGCCCCAGCTACAATTATCATGGAGAAGGTGTTGCAGTCAGGGCTTGGGGTTGAGGCCTCAGGATTAGGAAAATGAGGCTTTATTTAGAGTTTAGGATTTAGGGTTCCAGGGCTTAAAGTTTCGGGCATTTGGGCTTAGGGTTACGAAGGCTTTCTAGAGAAATAGTCACCGAAGGAATGTGGGCTTCATTTGGGTCATGAAGGGGTTGTGGCATTTAAGGGTGACACTGGAGATCGGGGCTTTTTAGGGGTATACGGAGGGACCCAAACCCCCAAACCCCCAAACCCCCAAACCCCCAAGCCCCCAAACCCCCAAACCCCTAAACCCCCAAACCCCCAAACCCCCA